AACCCTAAGCCCTAAACCCGAAGCCTCCCATGGAGGACCCCCAGCAAGAGCCGACAGCGGCCGGGTTCTCGAGGATGGCCCTGTTCACTGGGAGTGGCTGCAGGAAGGCCTAGGGTTCAGGGTTTAGGGTTCAGGGTTTAGGGGTTTAGGGTTTAGGGTTTAGGGTTTAGGGGTTAGGGTTTTAGGGTTCAGGTGTTTAAAAGTTTAGGGTTCAGGGTTTAGGGTTTAGGGTTTAGGGGTGCTGCGTGGTGCTTTCGGCTTGTGCGTCTAGCTTTAGGGCTCAGGGTTACGGCTTGGTGTGCAGGGTCTGCGCGATGCTGACAGTTTTGGCTGTAGTGTATGGTTCGGGAAGCGTGCAGGTGACAAGGTTCAAACAAATTGTTAAAGATTCTGGTGCTGCTCTTTCTTGCCAATCACGGCTAGAAGAGGTAGTGCCCACGCTTGAAGCATTCTAGATCAGATGTGGTTCAGTGTCATGTACCTCCTCACTTGGATGAGAGGCTCGATTCAGTACCTGATTCAGTCGGACGTGATGTCACTTGCTGCAGAAGAGCTACCGCCCAGTCATGAGTTGATCTTCTGCTACAAGGACCTCGACGACTTGCTGGATGCAAAACTCATCATGTCGTTTGCTTTAAGAATTTGCAAGCAACAGGGCCAAGCCTTCCTGGCACATGTCTTCACTGCCTGGACCACGGCGATGCGTAGCCTTCCACGCAGCGAGGTGAATGCTATGCCAGACCGTCTGTCATGGGGGGATGAAACAAGCTTCCTGACCCGCTGCTTGAACCTCCTTGACGCAATTGACGATGACGCGGAAGACTATGCTCGTCCTCGTGGCACGGCCGGCTTGGAGGCGGCGACTGACTTCCACGACGGGGACTTGCCTGGGTGTTCCTTCATTAGGTTTCTTCACCAGACATGTGCAGGTGCGACGATCGATCTGGTCAGGGAGAAGATGGATGTTGCCACAGTGGAGAGATCCTTTTCTAAGTTTCCAACTGAGACGGTTAAACGCAAGCTTTGGACTCTCGTGAAGGGGCGGAAGTCGACAGGCGTCTGCGGAGGTCTCTGGTGCGGGCTTGGAGCGGAACTGCTGATGGCACTCATCCAGAAGGGCCTGCCGAGATGGTGTTGGGCTGGCTGCATAGGCCCATTCAGCGACAACCTTCTCCAGCATATCATTGAGCCAGCCAACCGCGCCGCAGCAATGGACGGGAAAGAGGACGCTGAAGGGAGGCTTTGCATCCTTCTGGCTCGCAGATTCAGTCTGGAAGAGCTGTGCCATCAGAACCAGGATGGCAGAAATGCTTTGTCCTATGCTGAAGAGTTCGCCGACCACTGCGCAGATGGCGGCGGGCCTATGGTCGAAGACCGGAATGCAGATGTGTGGATCGAAGCCGGGTGCTTGTCGAGGAGCTTTGTTTAAGCTACCGCAACAGGGATACGTTTAATGTACAATAGCGCATCCTTATTATGGCAAATTCACCTACTTTCGTCAAAAACTGTAAACCGGCTTACAAGACTCTGGCGAAGTTAAACGCTGGCAAAGCCTCATCACATCGCGACCTCTAGATTTGCATTAAGTTTATGCAGCAAGAGCCCAGGAAGTGCGTGATGTGATCCGCGAGGAGATGGAGGCTCAAACCCAAAACCCCTAAACCCTAAACCAGAAATAACTTCTAAAACCTATGTAAACCCTAAGCCCTATGTAAGCCCCAAACTCTAAAACCTATGTAAACCCTATTCCCTATGGAAACCCTAAACAGTAAACCCTGTATACACCCTAAACCAAAAAACCCATGTAAACCCGAAGCCCTGTATAACCCTGAATCCTAAACTCTGTATAAACCCTAAACCACAAAACCCTACGTAAAAATCCTAAACCCTACTATAAACCCCAAATCCTACACCCTACGTAAACCCTAAACCCTAAATGAGAAGTAAACCCGAAAATCTTTGTAAACCCTAAACCCTATGTAAACCCTAAACCCTATATCAACCCTAAATCCTGAACCCTATGTAAACCCTAGACCCTGGACCCTATATAAGCCCTAAAGCAGAAATAAACTCGAAAACCTATGTAGACCCTAAACCCTAAACCCTAAACCCTAAACCCAAAACCCAAAATCTGAAAAAAGCCCGAAACCCAGGCTCGCACGCGCGCTTTTCAGGGCGATCTCCTGAAGCTCGTGGAGCTCGCGCGAAGGGCGAGAGCGGGCCTTGGTGGCTACCGGGCTTTTTTTAGGCTTTAGGCTTTAGGGTTTAGGGTTTAGTTTTTAGGGTTCAGGGTTTAGGGTTTATGGTTTTGGGTTCAGGTTTTAGGGTTTTTAGAAGGTTTAGGGCCAGTTTAGGGTTTAGGCTTTACGTAGGGTTTAGGTTTTATATGGGGTTTAGGATTTAGGTTTTATATGGGGTTTCGGGTTTAGGGTTTATGTAGGGGTTTCGGGTTTAGGGTTTATATGGGGGTTAGGAATTAGGGTTCATATAGTTTCGGGGCTAGGCAAGGGCTTTAGGGTTGGGGTTTAGGGGTTAGGGTTCAGAAATAGGGTTTGTTTTTTTTTGCTTTTGGCATTTTTGAGAAGGTTTCTTCAAGGGTTTTGGTGTTGTTTGACTGTCTTTTGCTGGTGTGGCTCGTGGGTCAGCAGGTGAAGCTGACTCCCTCGACTCACTCCCAGCTTTCGACGAGGAAATCTGGCGACGGAGCGCGGCTCTTCGTGATGAGTGGTGGAGGCAGGGGCCAGCCCTGAGGATTGAGCCATGGAAGTAGGTAGCTGAACGAAGTCAACACCGTCAACACCTCAACCGAACCAATCCGAACCCTAAACTCCTAAACCGCAGCACTACTCTGAAGCCCTGAACCCTAAACTCCTTAACGTAAGACTTTAGAATCCAAACCAAGAGAATCTCAAGCCAAGAAAGCCATGACAGCCCTAAGCCGTTGCCGTTGTCCTTTCAGACATCTACCCTAAACCCCTAAACCCCT